AATTCAAGGGAAGGGAAATTTGTTTTTTGTTTTGAATGTGATGACAATTGTTTTGCAAATGCAGAATGGCAGTCAATTTTCGTATTCTTTCTTCGATTATCATTCAGTGATTATTGTTTTTTTCCTTTTATCATTTAATCAAGAAAGCAAAAAATTATTATAATAATAATTTTCAATTGATCGAACCATATGAATGAATTTTCCATTCAATGGATATTGATTTTTTTTTCATTTCATTTCACTCAATAGTTTTTTATTTGCGGTTTTTACTATTCAATATTTGAAACATTTTTCACCGATCGATGATTGATTTGTCAACTTTGTTGAAATTCTTATTCAGTGTGTCGGTGTGGTGTGGTTTGAATTCTCGATTCAATTTCAATGTTGTTATTATCATCACACAAACACAGAGATAGATTGAAAAAAGTAAATTTCAACCAAAAACTCAATCATCATCATCGTCATGCATGATGGTTTATTCAATGCACACACATTTCTGGAGGTCGTATTTATTTTTCTGTTTTCCTGATTTCGATTTGAATTTGGATTTTTTTTTTGTGAACTTTTTTTTCTCCAAATTTTTCTGATTCAATTTGATTGAGACGAGTCCAATGAATGAATGAACGAAAGAAAGACCCCAAAGACAATTTCTTTTGCTATGTTTGTTTCAATTTTCTTTCAATGTATACATAGTGTGTGTTTGCAAACATTGCCGTTTTTCTTCTTCTTCTAACCGCTTGAATATTTGATGATAATGATGATAAATTTTCATTGAATGAAAATGAAAATGAAATTGTGCAAATGAAAGATATGAACAAATTGAATCAATTTTCTTTTATGCATAAAAAATCATTATCATCATCATTTGGTGTCACACATCTAGACTTTGTTTGATAGGATAATTTCGATTCATATTTTCTCCATAGATTTCTGGCTCCATCAACAACAACAACAGAATAGGCAAAATGATTTTCGATAAGCTTCTTTTTTTTGTCGGGTACATATCATTTATGTTTTGGGTCATTTTCTATCATTTTCTTTATCTCTTTTCCATTTCATTCAGTTATTCAATCAGGTTCATTATCCGTATGAAAAAAAAATTTACCCATTTGGCTTTGGTTGGAACGCATCAATTATTTTCATATATGTGTATCCTGTGTGTGTGTTTGAATATTCATCATTAAAGAGGAGGAAGGAGGAAAAAAAACGAAAATTTTCCTGGTGACAATGAATGACAACCGTCATATACAGACACACACACACACATATTTTTAGGGAAAAAATAGATGATTGTTCTATGTTTGTTTGTTTGCGGTGTGTGTGTGTTTGATGCAATGATTTGCATTCGCAGATATAATATTTGCATTTTTTTTTTCTTTGTTCATTGTGGTTTTTTCCTTTTTCTCTGTTTTCGGGTTCGGGTTTGTTTGTGTTTTGTGTCGATCAAATTGTTTGGAATGAAATGAATATGGATATGGATATGGATGTATATTTAATGATCGTTTCGTTTTTGTTTCGTTTTGTTTCGCTATTCAGTGGATCAAAATCAATTCAATTGTAATATTTTTTACACACGTTACAAACACACACACACACTGACAACAGATTTAAATTATTATTATGCTGAATAACATGATTCAAGAACAAATATTGATGGAGAAAAAAAGGGTTAGGAAACGGAAATCAATTGTTAATTTTATTACAAAAATGAAGCAAATTTGCAATAATAATAATGACTTTTGATATAAAAATTATGAATTCTTTCAGAACAAAAATCAAAAAAATCAAAAATCAAAAATCAATATCTTTTCTATTTTAGGCTAATGTCTTTTTTCTCTCATTGAACTCAATGTACAAGTGGCCAAATCATAATAATAAATGAATGAGAGAAAAAAAATCATTTTGAAATAAACAAAAATGATTTTCGGGTTTGATTTTTAGATTCATTTTTCACCAAAAAAAATATAATTTTGTTTTTTTTTTGGAGAGAGAAAAACAAAAATCAATAAAGCTATTCGTATGCTGATCACACACACACAAACATATATGTATACATTTCATTAAATGAAAGCAAACAAAAACAACAACAACAAAAAAACCAAAAAAAGAAATTCATCGTAATAAAGCTAAACAAAGACAGACATTTACTTTTGCTTTTTTCCAGATAAACATTGACAAATGTTGAAATGATATGTGGACAGTCTTTATTTTTGGAATCAAACATCTTAAAATGGAAAAAAGCATTTTTTTGTTTTCTTTTCATTTATCAGCAATAGAAAACTTATTTACTTGGTTTTCGATTCAATTATAAATGATATTTTCTTTGTTGTTGTTGTTGTTGTTGTTGATGAATTATTTGGTAAGTAAACAACAACCAAATGAAACAACATCTGTAGAATTGATGATCATAATGAGTGAGTGGAAAGAAAATCAACCAAAAAAATGTGTTCAGCAAGGGTTTAATGGAATGTATTCAAAAGTCAAAAAACAACAACAATGTTTGAAATAAGCATACGCATTAGCATCTTTTATAAATTTAAAAACAAAAAAACAAAACAAAAAAAATGTCAAGTAATTTTCCGCTACATTTTTTGGTTAATTGTGTGTGTGTGGGATACTCTTGAGATTGTTTCAGGTTTTTTCTTCTAAATAATCAAATGAATTCAGAAATTTCTTTCTTCGCTAGAATGTCATTATCCTTTGCCATTTCGTTAGGTTTGTTTTGAGACATCAGTTACCGTTGAGAATAAACACAGAGTTTTTTAGTTATTCACTTTTTTCAAATTCATCGAATGATTTATTACAAATTTTATTCATAGCTTCTTCATTGCTGAACTTTTTTTTTCATTGTTTTTCATTGTTTTGAAACAAAAATTATATGTTTGAAACATCATTTTGGAAATTGAATTCGAAACTAGGAATTGCAAAAAAAAAATTACCTTTCAATGGATTTGCATCAGCAACGATGATAATATTTGAATGAAAATTGAACAATAGTAGTATCGTAGCCATCATCATCACAGCTACCATCATCTTGGTTGTAAATGAAATTATAATACAAAATGACATGGCAGAATAAAACTATAGAAAATAATAGAAAATTTTGCTGTTTTCGTTTCGTTTTTTTTAATTCAATGGGAAATATTTTCCAACATGATCGATGTACACCGAGTGAAAAAAAAATTCAAAATGATGAATACATTATTATTTATGTATGAAAAAAAAGATGTATATTTTCCATGTTGTAACAGAGATCATTGTAGCAGAATGAATGAATAATTTTGATGGATCGAAAAATATCCGGAATCATTTTTCTCCCCTGTTGTTGTTTGGTTGTCGTCATTATTTTAATATTCATCACAAATGGATACAATTCGTGATTAATTTGTGATGGATTTTTTTTCGGTTGGGGTCATTGTTGATAACAGATGAAAAAAAATTGAATTTTGAAAATTTTCAAAAAAAAATAGCCACATCGTTCAAAAGAACAAAAATCACTTACAACAAATGTTTTTTATTGCTTCCATCACATAAAATGATGATGATCTTTACAAGTATAAATTCAATACTGAAATGAGAAAAAAAAAGAAAATTTTCGAATCAAACAAAATTTCCATGAATTCTGAACGCACAGACAGACAGAATTCTATACAAGAATAATCACGCGGCTGTAATCGTTTGTTGTTGTTGTAGCAGTAGTGGCCGTAGCAGCGGTAACAGAATCATATTCTTGACACATGCGAATTTTTTTTTCTCTTCTTCTTCATAACAATAACAATAACAATAGAAGATTGTCAAAAGGCTGTCTCTGTTTGTAGCCAAAATTCAGTAGAACAATTCATGTGTATCTTTCTTTCTTTCATTCATTTTGGCGTAATGGAACAATCTATTGGATCGATGATATATATTTCATCTCAATCTCAATCTTCATCATCGTCTTTCAACCAATTATTACCAAGCTTTCATTACCCCGAAAATAATATCTAGGGGTTTCTTTATGAATCAATTTTTAATTAGCTTTTTGCTATGAGGATGATTAGATCAATGTGACAAAAAAAAACAAAAAACAAAGCATCGAAAATCCATCCCCACAAAAAACCAATTCATTCAATGAAAAATATATGACAGCCCAAATGATGATGATGAGCTTATTAACAGCGAAATGTTATTATTTTTTATTTATAAATAATAAAACTAATAATAACAACAGCAACAATGACAGAAACTTTCATCATCGTTGAGGTTTAGGTTGTTATTGTTGTTTGATGTGATTTTTATTTTTTTACCAAAATTTCATTTATTACAATAATAATAATAATGTTACAAGATAATATTCTTTGACCATAATCATATATGATGAGCATTTTGATTATATCGTAACGTTTGTTTTTTTATTTTCATCTATAAAAATTTATAATTTATATCAATCACACACATCATCAGTAAAAACGATAACAAAAAATATGTTAATAATGGAAAAGGAAGAAAAAATGATTAATTTGAAACAAAAATTTAAGTAACGATAACCTCTAAACTTGTTGAAATTTAATAAATTTAATTCAAAAATATTGCTTGACATCTTGTAATTATGATAGAGATAATTGGCGTGTTTGGGTAAAAAAAAAATAATTAATGGAATTATTGTTGACCAACGATGTTCGCATTTGGCTTTCTGCCCGTTGAACAGAAAGAATATCTGAATCTTGTCGTTGAATGATCTTTTTTGTTTGGTTTGGTTGCTCTAAATAATTTAACAAACAAAAAAATGGTCAATTAATGTCATCAGGGAAACAGCGAATGTGTGTGTGTGTGTTATGTGTCGAAGGGCTTTCTTCATCCAAGTTAATTAAGATTAATGATAATTTAACATAAGGCAATTTTATTTCTTTAGTTTCGTTTTTCTATATCAACTAAAAGGATGCTACCATTTTTATTATTATTATTATTATGGAAAAAGTAATAATTGCACAGAAACGAGAGAAACTTTTGCTACTTTTTTCGTTGTTGTTTTATTACAGATGAAATTCTGTAGAGAATAGAACAGGCTTTTCATCAACATCAACCATAACTGTATTGTTATTTTGATCAAATTCATTTGATGAACTGATAAATTTTCCAAATTCAAGCATAGAATTTTTATCCAAATTCCAATGTAAACCAATTGTTTTAATTTTAACTGGCCCGCATAATGGTATCAATGAACACCATTTTGAATTGGAAATTTTTGATATTCGATGTGAACCCTTAAAAAAAATTTCAAAAAAGAAAAAAAAATTTGTAGCAAATTTCACATTTCCAAATATTATTGAACAAACCTTTTTGAGTACGAAACTAATCGAATCAACCATATCGACTAAAATTATGGGCGGAAATTTTTCTCTGTTATTAGTAAAATTATGAACAGTAGATAAAATCGATAGATATTGATCGATTCGACCAGAATTTGAAAAAAATACTAAAATACAATCCAATGCAGTATTTGTAGCAGCAATATTTACTGAATTCAAAACCTGTTCATCCAAAATAAACAATGCTTTTTCAAAATCAGTATGATTTTGATCGGGTGTATGTAAAATTTTTATTTTTCCATCACATTGTTTAAAGTGATCCATTACTTTCGATTGAATAGAATCAAAATCACCGGTTATAAATGTTGGATCGAATAGGTTACCATTAGATTGCTGCATATTATATAAGCTATTAGTACCGCCATCCACTGTCATACGAACAAAACAATTGTTCCAGATTTGTTGAAAATTTTGAAACTTTTCAGTTTCGAAAAATTGTTCCATTGATGCAAATTTCGATAATATTGTATCAAAACAATGATTCAATAACATTACGGCAAAATTTTTTCCTACGAATTAAAAAAAAAAATATTGAAAAATCAACATAATTGTACAGAATTTACCTTTTCCATGAGATTTGATTATTTCGATACAATTTTCCCAATCAAAATCCAGGATTTCTTGATCAATTGTAGCCATTTTTTTAAATTGTGCAAACACTCCAAAAACTTTGTTGATGATATTGCAAAATAATTGCTACAATCATCTGGTATTTATACTATTATATCTAATTAAATGTGTACATTTTTATAGTTGTTGTTTATTTTGTCAGCCATATTTAGTATCATGATCATCAAAGATAAAACTTTTTTAATTATATCAAAATATGACCGGCATCCATATGGAAAATCTATTCAAAAAACAGAAAAAAATTGTATCCAATTCTAAAATCAAAACAAAACAATAGATGGCGCAATAATGTTTTTAAAATGACAAAAAAATTCGATACAATCGATACAATCGAATCGAATGCATTTAATCGAATGCACCACGTTTTAACAGGCCAACGCGTTCACTTTTTTCTTTTAATTCTTTCGTTGCTGTTGATTTGCATCATTTTTTTTCTGTCTGTTTGTTATGATTTAAAAAGAAATTTTTTTTTTTGCCAACAACAAATAATTCAACTTCCACTTGAAAAAAAACAAAAATGCATTGAACACATTTTCTTTCATTAATATTCCAATATTATTTTGAAACAGACACACACACAAACAAACAAACACAGACTTTAATTTAAACAAATTATTTTTTTTTGTAAAAAATAAAAATTTTTAATATTGTAAACTTGATTCTTGTATTTTTCTTCCTTGTCCCTGAAAATGTCTAAACAACAACAAAATAATATGTCCGATTATGAATCGGTTATTGTAACACACGTTGATAATCCAACACTTTTTTATTGTCGTATTGAACAAGATATTGAACGTTATGAACAATTGAAACAATTAATTGGACAACATATTGATTCGGAACCACATTCAATGCCTGATTTATTTCGTTGCCGAAATTCTAGCACTTCTATTACTGCTTTGGTTTATTCAGAAATTCATAATGAATGGTGTAGGGCTCGATTGATTTCAATGAAAATCGATCGTAATCATAAACCAATTTGTGCCAAGGTAAATACATCGATGTTTATTTCTTTTCATTCATTGCGTAATCCATTTCATCGAAACAGGTTTGGCTTATTGATTTTGGTTCAATCGAATTTATTGCTTGGAAACCGAAATTCGTTTCTACTTCAACATTAGAAATTGATACTTTTAATGAATCACGTGGCCTTTGTTTTCCTTGTTCACTTGATAATATAAAACCATTTAATGATGATGATAATGATTTGAAAGAAGAATCGAAAAAACCATTACAATGTGAATGGACAAGTTATGCTAATTTTATGTTTAAAAAAACAACCGCATCGAAAAAATTCTTATTGAAAATGATGAAATCGAATGATGATTTATTGTTGGAAGATAAAAAAATTATTGTCTGTGATTTACTAATCGAAAATGATTGTTCAAAATTGAATGAATTTACCAAATCATCATCATCATCAATGAGTAAATTTCTTGTCGAATCTAAAGTTGCTCAATTTATTAATGAAAAAAAATTTTAAAACGTTTTTATAAATTTATTATTATTATTATTATGAATATAAAACTAAATAAATTTCTCTTTTTTTGATTATAATTTGACACATTTTATAATTTTGGTGTATTTGTAATCTAAGCTAGTAATCCTAGCATCATTATAATAATTATCATATACGTGCTGATGGATATTGCAAACGGCATTGTTTCAATGCTTCATTGAAACCTTCACAAAGTGTTAGATCATAATTTTGGGCACAATCCATAAATTGTTTCATTTCATATTGACATGGTGGTTGTTGTTGTTGTTGTTCAGCGGATCCATATTGTGATTGAGCTGGAGCTGGTGCTGCTGGTGCAGGTTGTTCAACACTTTGTCCGCCTCCCATCGATCCAGTAATTGCATGACCAATAGTATGACCAACAGCCGATCCGATAGCTACACCACCAGCAGTTGCAGCCATTTGTCCAAGAAGTCCAGGACCTTGTGATGGTGCTGGAGCCGGTGCGACAGCGGCCGGTTGTTGCCGCATTGGAACAGATTGCGATGGAGCATGTGATGGTGGTGGTGGTGTTGGTCTTGATGCCGCGGCCATTCTTGGTTGACTTGGCCGAGCAGGACCAAACGATGAACGCATTGGTGATGATGATGGTGATGAACGTCCACGTCGAGGCATTTTTGTATTCTTGCAATTAAATTTCAATTAGTTTGAAGGAAAAAGAAAGAAAAATTTTAAGATTTTAGAAGAAAAAATACGCAATTAACAAATAACGCTTGCTACAGAAAAAAAACTCGTGATAAAATGATGTACGAAACGACAAACAGATAGGTCATGAATTTTTTTTTTTTGTTAAATGAGATTCGAATCACGCAGCCTCAATACAAAAGATGAGCACCGTATTTACACTGAAGTGTTTTTCGGAAAATTTCTACTTTTCTTGAAAATTCTAGAATTTTTTCCACAATTTATGGCATTTATGAATTTAGAAAACCTGTATAATCATTTAATCACATTTAATCGAATTTTAATTTTTCGAGCAAAAAAACTTTCAAGTTTTTTTTCGATGAAATTTTTTTGTTTGAAAATTGCCAATTTCACCAATTTCTCATTCGAACAATTTTTAATCATTCGATGCATATCGAGCGCTATCTATCGATCTTGATTACAGTTTTGTTTACGGATTATAATTTAAAATGATGCAACAATCCAGTAATGTCGAGATTTACGATTTTTTCATCATGACAAAACGAAAATCAAACAAACAAACAAACGAAAAACTAAAATTCTACTGAATTTGGATATATCCTACCCTGTTAAATCCGAATAGCTAACTTTTTTTGTCGAAATTTCATTCAAAGAAAAACAAATTTTCAAAAAAAAACTTTCCCTTCCCGTTTTTTTCCTTCCAAAAATGCAAACAAGCCATACATCACTTTTTTTCTTGATTTTCTTTAGCAAACAAAATTCAAACTTTACCTTAGCATCTTTTCTTTGTTTTCTCCAAAAATGAAATGAAATAAAAAAAATTACAACAATCCGATCATGAAATGAAAGTGAAAAAAAAGAAAAAAGAAGAAAATTTTCCCATTGATTACCAACGAAAAATGTCAGGAAATGGATGGATGCTTATAACAAACGAAATGAACATTAAAATTTTTTTGATTTATAAAAAAAATCTTTGAATTTTTCGTAGAAAAAAAAGGGAGAAAAGAAAAGAAAAGAAAGTATGAAGAACATTTGGTTACTTTTTTGTTACCTTTTGATGTTTGACGATCCAAATGCAAATGGGGTAGATTTAGGTGTGTGTGTGTGTGTGATGTGTGCATACATAACTCATCATCATCCGAACCGAACGTATTATGGAACAGGAACAAAACAAAAAAAAAATCTTATTACATAACACATGTTGGTTATTGATTCAACTTTGACCTCATTCATGACCTCTTTTTCTATATTGTCTGATCGGGTGTACGGGATGCACGAGTATATGAGTGTTGGCATCATCAACTGTGTACCCGGTACGACGCATCAAACCAAAAAAAACCAAAAACGAATCGAAACAGATTTTCTTCAAGATCTTTTGTCTGTGTGTGTGTGTGTGTGTCATATGTGTTTGTTCATCGTGTGGGAACAGTAGTTTTATTTCGACTTTGAAACGATGATGTGATGGTTATCGTTGATCACAAGAGATCGATTAAATTTTTTGTGTGAAAAGAAAAATTTAAGGGGGAAAAACAGAAAAATCCAAAAATCCAAATTGAATTTAGATAAATTTAAATATTACTACAGTCATTCATCGTCTTCATGAATATTAAATTAATGATGATGATGATGATCATAATGGTATCTATTGTTATCAATCAATCAATCATGATGGATTGGGATGTGCAAATCATAAACAATTAATTAGTTTTTGAAATAAATCGATTGAAATCAAGGAAATTGACCGTTTTTGATGATGATGATGATACAGAAAAATAAAACCGATCAAATCGAGCACACACATCCAGATCAGGATGCCGATTATGTTCGGTTTTTTCCATCATACATCCATTACCAAAAAATTTACAGTTATTGAAAAGCCATTCATTCATTCAAGCTGGGGTTTATACAACAATTTTGAATTATTTGCAAAAAAACAAAATTAGAACGAGGGGTTATTTTTTAAAAACATTTCTTCTTTATTAGGTCACACATGTTCAATAACAATATATCGATACAATATTGGATTTTTTTTTCATTCAAATGATGAAAAATTTAACAAAAAAATTTGAAATCAAATGGAAAAAATAGGACAATGTCGACAGTTCGGTTTGAAAGTTTAGCTTTTCGCCAATATTGAAAGAGAGTGGTTAGTTTTATGGGCGGTACACAAGCCTTTTGGACCAACAATTTCGGTTAAACTCTTTTTCCAAAGTTACAAATGAATGAATGCACAGCCCATTTAAATGCCAGCCAAAATTTTTTTTCCAAGCACAAATAAAAACCAATTGATCGGGTTGAATTTCGTCAAACATTAATGTTTCATTATCATCATCATCAGCGGCAGCAATTCATCCATCGAAAGAAATTATCTAAATTTTGTTTTTTTGTTGAAGAAAAAGAAAAATGTTTAAAAATTTTGTATCATTTTTTCACCATCATAATATTACCTTAATTGTTTACCATTGTGTGTGTATATAAGTGAAAAAAGTGCTACATTTTGCTACAATTAGTTTAATTAATTTATACTTAGCCATTTGTAAAAAAAAATTGATTAAAAGTTTTTTTTTTTGGTTTGATAAAAAAGTTATTAAAAAACAGAAATAAAATTATACGTTTTCTCATTGCCATCGTCATTGTTTGTTTGTTTGTTTGCTTTTTTGGTTCATCATCGATATATACAAATCACCAATTTTTTTTTAAAATTTATTTTTGAAATGATGTTCCCTGTCACTAGGTCACCTGAGACATTAACTCGTGTAGTTTTTTTTTAAATAAAAATATTCATTGTTTAAAAAACAATATGATATTTTTTTTNTAACAAAAATTTGAAATCAAATGGAAAAAAAGTAGGGAAAAAATTAGGACAATGTCGATAGTTCGGTTTGGCAGTTTAGTTTTTCGGTCGTATATCACCAATATTGGAATAGCAGTTGGTTTGGGCGGTACACAAGCCTTTTGGACCAACAATTTCGGTTAAACTCTTTTTCCAAAGTTACAAATGAATGAAGCACAGCCCATTTAAATGCCAGCCAAATTTTTTTTCCAAGGCAAATAAAAACCAATGATCGGGTTGAATTTCGTCAAACATTAATTTTCATTATCATCATCAGCAGCAATTCATCCATCCATCGAAAGAAATTATCTAAATTTTGTTTTTGTTAAAGAAAAAAAATGTTTAAAAATTTTGTGTCATTTTTTCATCATCACAATTACCTTTGTTTTTTGTTTACCAAACAGCGTTCAACAGTGAAATAAGTGCTACATTTTGCTACATTTAATTAAATTAATTATACTTAGCCATTTGTAAAAAAATTGATTAAAAGTATTTTTTGGTTTGATTAAAAAAAATTATCAAATTAGGAAAATTATTAAAACCAATTAAAGTTACACGTTTTCTCATTGTCATCATCAATGTTTTGTTTTATGTTTGTACATTTGATTCGGCCATTGTCTCATCATAATCGTCATCTTCAGTGAATGAAGTAGAAATTTTATGAAATGATGTTCCCTGTCACTAGGTCACCTGAGACATTAACTCGTGTAGTTTTTTTTTCATTAATTGTTAAAAAACAATATGATTTTTTTGTTTGTGTTTAGAAAACAAACAAACAACAAAGAATTCATTTTCTTTTTGACCACAAGCTAAGGTCTCAGGGACAGAGGAACAGGTTTTACACACCTATACACACATTTTTATTCAAATTTAAAGAATTTTAAATATTTCACAAAAATGATAATCATCAACAACAACAAAAAAAACCGGACATACCTAGTGTATGACAAATGTTGAATGATGTAAATCACCATCATCAGATATCATTATCATCATCATCATCACACCATCATCATTATGGAAGAAATTTTCATTTCATCAAAGAAAACAAAAAAAAAACAGTTAAATTAATCATTCCCATTGACAATGAACCCGAAATTTTTTTTGAAAAATAGAGAATAAGAGTGGGTGAGTGTTAGTTGATAAGTTTGGTTAGTGAGTGAATGGGAGAAAAAAGTGAAAAAACTAAAACTAAAGAATCTGTTGTTGATTTTAGGCTCAACCAAACACAATAAGCTAGTAAGTTGTACAGTTTGAATCATGATTAGAATATATTTTCATTTTTCTTATTCTTTTTTTGACAATTTTGATACTTTTTTTTCATCCATCCAATAAAATCAATCGAAATGATACATTTTTGAAAAAATGTATCAATTTTTATAGATTATGGAAGATGTTTGGTTATGTCATGTCAAAATCGAAAAAAAAATGAAAAATATATTTCAACAACTATACAACCTACTACCTCAGTATGGCTGGGGCACAATTCAAAAGTAAAATGAAATAGAAAAAAAGCAAATTATCAACAGAATTGCTACATGCTAATTAGGATTTAAAAAGACAGAAAGAGAGAAAGGGTTTAGGGGTGGTACATATTTAATGTATCAATTTTTTTTTCTTTTGATTGTCGCTGTGAAAATGATACACCCAAAAACGCAAATGGATACATTTGTAGCGAATAAAAAACAACACTAACAGACTGAGCTAACATAGAATATTTGAAAAACAGAGAAAAAGAGAAAGAGATGAAAAAATGAAAATATTTTTCTTTATTTTGAAATGAAAATAGTTTCATTTTTTCCAGAAAAAAAGGGTTACAAATTGTTAAATTTTTGAACCCTTCGGGTTCAATGTGTTTGGGAATGATGAAATTTTAAAAAAAATAAATTTTTTTAATAAAAAACGAAGAATTTAGGCCCAAATTAAAAAAAAATTCAAAGTTTCAAAGTTTTGGCGGGTTTTTTTTCATTTCAAAAAAAACAACTGTTGATCACACTAAATCACTACTAATCACTATTTCATCAATCGAAAAATGAAGGAAATTGAAAACAAAAAGGTGAAAATTGAAGAAGAAAACGATGTGATTGATTTTCAAATGGAATTTTTACACACCAAAAAAAAAAAATCAACAAACTTTTCACAGCATCAGAGTGTAAAATTAGGTTTTGTTTTGAGAAAAATTTAGGGGAAAAAACAGATTCATATAAAACAAAAATAGATAGGATGGATTGAGATTGATAGATTTATTTATTTTTCACCCCACATTCTCAGATAAGTTTATACATTCCAAAAAAACTGCCTATACCC